AGGGAAAAAGGGGAGAGAAGATACAAAGGCTTGAAACAAGATGTAAAAAAACAGATCTTTTTCAGAGACAAAGGGTAAAATACAATTAAAAAAGAGATTCTGCAAAAGCACATAAGATTGTATTGTAGTATTGTATTTGAAATAGAGTTAGAAAATTGGAATATTATATGATTTAATAAAATATTAAAGGAAATATGTAAAATGTTTAAGATTTAATGATAGAGTTTAATTTGCTATGGATTATTGTTTCAACTATATTATAAACCTAGTATTTTCTTATTTTAAAATGTACGTAGAATGTACTAAGCAGAATTAGAATGGAAATTATATATTATCTTAAGTGTTAAATTTAGGGGAAAGATAGACCCCAGAAAGAGAAAGTTTAAAAAGAAGAAAGGGCTAAATGAAATAGCTTGTGTTTACAGAAGAGAGTGGAGACCAAGAGGGTGGAGACCAAGAGACGGGGTGTGTGTGTGTGAAAAGACTAGGATTACAAAAGAGACTCTGCAAAAGTACATAAGATTGTATTGTTGTATCTTTACTTGAAACAATGTTAGAAAACTGGATCTTTACATGATTTAACAAAATACCAAAAAATGCTTAAGATTTAATGATAAAGTTTAATATACTATGGATTATTGTTTCAATTATATTATAAATTTATTATTTTTCTATCTTAAAATGTAGTAGGTAGTTTTAGAATGTGCTAAGCAGAATCAGAATGAGAATTATATATTATTTCAAGTGTTAAATTTAGGGGAAGATATAAAGGCGTCATACTTCAATTAGAGATTACAGGAGAAATATTGTGTTAATGAGAAAAGAAAAATAGATGATTGAAGCAGAATGGACAAAAGATATTAGTATAATTATCTAAATCGAGATGAAATAAATAAAATAGAATTAAGAGAGTGAAAAGAGGGGAGAAGCCATATAGAAAATATAGAATGGTAAATAAGATATGAAATGGTATATAAAGTGAGCATGAACTTGATTTATGTCTGTACCAAAAGATGTAACCCGGGACTAGGCCTCTTTCCAAAAAGAAGTTTTATGTTTTTATGTTTTGTGTTCTGTTTGTGTATGTTTGTTTATTGAAAATTAATAAAATTTATTTTTAAAAAAAAGCTAAAGAAAAAGGAAAAATTCTTCAGGTTCTTCAACACCTTAATCCAATTAAGAGGTCTCAAATAATACTATTTTAAAGGAAAAAGACTTCACACAGTGGATGGAGAAGAACTGGCCTTTTTCTTTAGAGAAAACAAAAAAGAAGATACATCAATCTAGAACAGGGGTGGGCAAACTTTTTGGCTCGGGGGCCTCATTGATTTTTAAAATTTGACAGACGGGCTGGGTCAGCACAAGATACGATACATATTAAAAAACTGCAAAATCAAGTCACTGCGCCTAATGCGCCACCTGGTGTCGAAATGCCTGTCATTGCAAGTCAAAATCAAATGAATGCAATCATTCAATCATTCACATCAAACCTTAATTCTGTACCAATCTTCGGCGGGCCGGATTAAAAAGACCAACGGGCCGGATGTGGCCCGCGGGCCATAGTTTGTCCACCCCTGATCTAGAATGTATGGGATACAATGAAGGCATATGCCAGAGGCTTGATAATAGACTATACAAGGAAAAGAAATACTATGAAAAGATTAGCCTCTTAAGGCATTAGAGGATGAGTATAAAGGACTTGAAAAAGAGCTACAGCAAATGCCACAGAAAAAGGACATTAAGTTCAAAATGGATATAACCAAACATAAAATGGGTCTAATAGAAAAAGAAGAATTAGCACAGAAAATTAGAGGTGCTAAACAGAACTACTTTGAAGATGTAAATAAACCAGGTAGATTGTTAACATATAAATTGAGAACGGAGAAAGAATCAAGGAAAATATTGCAATTAATAGATGATCAAGGCCAAGTTTGCTATGGTAGTAAAGAGGAAATCATTCAAGACTATTATGGGAAACTATACACACAAGAGAATATTGGTGAGGAAAGAGTCAAACAGTACCTACAGAATGCTAAGTTACCCCAGATACCTAAAGAGATTGAAACAATGTTAGAAAGCAATATAATGATGATGGAGTTAACTGAAGCACTCAAAAAGCAAAATAATGGAAAGGCACCAGGCCCAGATGGACTTCCGGCAGAATTTTACAAAAGATTACAAGAATCGTTGAATCTTCCATTGCTAGAAGTTATGAATGAAATTATGTTAAAGAAGAGGATACCTAAATCATGGTCAGAAGCTTATATTACACTTGTTCTAAAAGAGGAGGCCGATCCATTACAAATCAAGAACTATAGACCTATTTCCTTACTAAACGCAGATTATAAAATTTTTGCTTCAATATTGGCAGAAAGACTTAAAACATACTTAAATAATTTTATCCATCCTGATCAAAATGGATTTCTGCCAAAGAGACAAATTAAAGACAATATGAGAGTAATCTTGGACACTTTGGAATACTACGAGACACATCCTGAAAAACAAATGGCTTTGATATTTCTAGATGCACAGAAGGCATTTGATAACGTGAATTGGCGATACATGTTATTCTTGCCGGAACAGATGGACTTTGCTAGAAAATTTATTCAAGCAATAGAAGCTATATATCATAAGCAAACGGCAAAGGTAATGATAGAGGGAGAACTGACAGACTCTACTGATGTAAGAAAAGGAACAAGACAAGGGTGCCCACTATCACGTCTGTTGTTTGTGTTAACTTTGGAAGTGCTAAATAGAAATATTAGAGATGAAAAGAATATAAAAGGGATGAAAATTAAAAATGAAGAATTTAAGTTGCAAGCATTTGCAGATGATCTGGTTTTTATCTTAGAAGACCCACTAAAACAGCATCAAAATTGATAGAAAAGATAGAGACATATGGAAAGGTGGCTGGTTTGAAAATAAATAAAGATAAGACAAAGATCTTGACAAAGAATATGCTATCAAGACAAAAGGAAGAACTGGCAGACCTACTGAAAATTCAGGTCACGAATAAGATTAAGTACTTGGGGATATACTTGACAGCAAGACGCAGTACACTAAAAGAGAATAATTATATCAAACTTAAACAGCAGAGAGCACTAGATTTGGCAAAATGGGAAAATTTACAACTGTCATTAATAGGGAGAATATCAACAATCAAGATGAATATATTACCCAGAATTTTATATTTGTTTCAAACAGTTCCAATTAGGCTTGGAAAAGACTATTTTGAAGATTTAAATAAAATTGTATTGAAATATATATGGCAAGGTAAGAAAGCGAGAATAAAGTTAAAACTTGCAAGATGCCAGATTAAGAGGAGGATTTGGTTTGCCTAATTGGGAGTTGTATTACCAAGCTACAAATTTGATGTGGGCTAAGGAATGGATAACATTAAGAAATACTAGATTACTGACATTAGAAGGACATGATCTGTTGTTGGGGTGGCATGCTTTTTTATGGTATAAAGGAACTAAAACACAGGGGTACTTTAGAAGACATTATATACGGGAGTCTCTGTGGTTAAACTGGGAGAAGATTAAAAGACAATGTTATTTGAAAATTCCAGTCTGGCTATCGACTATTGAAGCATTTTCTTGTCCTATAATATACAAAAAGGAACAAACAGTTAGTTATGGTGAAATACTGAATGAAAAGGGTGAACTTAAATCTATAGAAAAATAGAGGAACAAGGTATAAAGATGAATTGGTTTTAATATGCGCAAATACATTCAAGGTATGATAAAGATACTAAAACAGAAGGTTTCTATGATAAACTGACTGATTTAGATAAGATTTTGACAGGTACTGATGAAAAGGTGATTAAAAAATTATATGGATATTTATTAGAAATTAAATTAGAAGAAGAACAAGTTAAAGAAACTATGATTGCTTGGGGGAAGAATTTTGGATATGGGATTGATCTAGAGAAATGGCAAAAATTGTGGTCTCAAAATTATAAAATGACAATGTCAACAGCATATAAAGAAAATTTGTATAAGATGTTTTACAGGTGGCATTTCCCCCTGACAAGAATAGCAAGAATATTCAAGAATAAATCCAAAAAATGTTGGAAATGTCATCAGACACCTGGCTCATATTACCATATGTGGTGGACTTGTGCGGATGCTAAAAAATACTGGACTAAAATCCACACGTGGTTGAAAAAAATGACAAAAAAACATATAGATTTGAAACCAGAGATATTTTTATTGGGACTTTTACCTGAAATATATAGTAAAGACTTGAAATACCTGATTGTAAATGTATTAACAGCGGCTAGGATTGTATTTGCTAAAAACTGGAAAAATGAGAAAATACCATCACAGGAGGAAATCATTTAAGAAAATATTGGAATGTGCTGAAATGAGCAGGTCGACATTTGAAATCAGAGAACAGGATGATAAACACTTTTATAAAGTTTGGGATCTATTCTATCAATGGTTAGACAATAAAGTATAGTAACAAAATATGTAGACTTTTAGAAAATACTAAATATATAAAGATGTATTCTTTCCTTATTATACCTACAAAATGATTTTAGGATGAGATTTGGGATGATAATATGAATTGTCACAAAACAAATTAAGTAAAATATGATTATTTCCTAAAGCATGAATGAATAAAAGTATAGTCAAATGATTGATTAATAATACCAATGTATTTAATATTGGGTTGAAAATACGAGATCATATACAATGTAATTGTAATTGAAGACTATGAAATGGAAGCACAAAACAATTTGTAAACCAACCGGCACACTGTATGTACATATATGGAAGATGCCTGATGTTTTTATGTTTTGTTTGTTTATGTTTGTTTTAAAAACCAATAAATTTTTTTAAAAAAAATACTGCTTCTGTTGTGGATTTTGGTTTTCCCTCTGGGTCAATGTAATTTTTGCTTCATGCATAGTTAGAAGATGGAACAAAAGTGTAATCCTAAAACAAGCATTTATGTACAAACAAAAATATTTCATAAAATAATTGTTTCCTTACCTTTTCAATGGTGACATTCCCAAGGGTGGCATTTATTATTTCTTTATAATCAACAATGTACTGTTGATGAAAAATAATGTTTTGATTACATACATATCGCTAGAAAGCTGCTCTTGCTATACTCAAGAATAAGTGATTATTTTACAAGTTAAAGCCTAAGTACTGACTTCCCAATGTGGAACTACAATTCCCATAATCTCTCACCGCTGGTTTTATTAGCTGGTGCTGATAAGATGTGAAGTATACTAATATTTGGAAGGCCACATGTTACCCATTCCTATTGTCTTGACAGTTTTCTTTTGTGCTTATTTTTTCCAATTCCCATTTCAACATTCCCTGAGGTACAAACCTGGGCATAATCATTGAAAGGAATGAGATTTAATTCTGAATAAAAAAGTTAAATAAATAAAGACAATAAATCCTTTGTAATGATACTAAGGATTAATTCAAAAGCATGTATACTGAGTGATAATATAACTTTAACAAAATCATTACTTACCTTGTCAATGGTAACATTATCAATGGTTGCATTTCTAATAATGACTTTATAATCAGTAGCATACTGTAAATGGAAAACATTGGTTCTGTTAATATTTGTGGCACAATTTAAACAAATATATAGGTTAAAACTATATGACTTGAAAAATGTATTTCTGGATTTTTTTAATGTGAAACTGAGAACTATAACATCATTGGTAAAGTTATAGATCCAATTTGGTCATAATTTTTTTGAACATACAACAATGTTGCTTATACATGAAAAACTTGTGCCTATGGACTGTTAAAGGCTTCCTACATATCTGAAGCATTTTGGTAGGACGAAGGAAAGCATTCAGTCATCAGGAACTGTCTTTATATCACCGCATTAAGCAAGGAACAAAAGAACAGGCAGTAAAGAAATACTGCATCCAAATGAAGCAACACCAGCAAAAGTTCCTCCACAATCTATATCTGATTTCATTTTTAAAACACTTCTTGGCATTTTGGATTGCCGCTCATACAGCTAATCATAGAACACAAGGATTTCCTATTACCAAAAATGGAATGGGATCAGCTGAGATTCAAGTGCCAGTTAAACTGCAGATTAAATGTGAGATTCCATAAGAAGATTGCAGCACTTCTAACAGAGGTTGTAGGTACCAGTGAAGATAGTAACATATATTTATGTTAGATTCCTGTTAGATTCCAATATTCGTTGCAAAGGCTGTATTATTATAGGACTATATTTTATTATCTAAAATAAATTTCAGCAAAATATATAAAGCACATACTTCAAAGGCTAATATTTAGCTTGTGAGACTATGACCCAGAAATCTTTCTGGTCAGAATAGTGAGTGCCTAAGAACTCCTGGCTGTTTAGGAATACCACCACCTGCATGACACAATGAAATGTGAACAATTTACAAAGGGAGAAAGAGAAACTAATCTTAAGCAGTGGAGGAACAGGGTAAATAGATGGCACTTTTAATAGTGGGATTAATATCTAATCATTAAGGTTCTGTTTCAAAAATACCATGGAATTTAAATTGAACAATAAAAAGGATGTAAACTGGCAACAAGAGATCTACAAAGGTCATCTCTCCGAGCTTTTTATATTTTACAATTTCAGATTAATAATGGTTCTTACTCTGGCAAACATCTTCTATGCTTTATTGCCTCCCAGTTTTATAGAGAATGCAGAGGTAAGTCTCTGAAAGGCATCAGAAACTGCTTGAACATTTTTGTACAGAAATATTTTGTTATATAGGTTGCATATTTTGTTCATATGGTTAAAAAGTTAACTCCCCCTCCAAAATGGGAAAACGGTTTTCATATATACGAAAGATACCATGAAAAGGTCATAAGGCCAAATTATTGCACAATCTAAAGCTTATCAAGGATTCAAGCATCATATTGCAAACTCTTCCATTACCCTTGTTCAGTATTTTGAATGTCCTCCATAAAATTGGAGTATTGGTTTAGATACTCTTATAATCCTGTGTAGATTAACTCTTGTAAAATACATTTTTGTACTAACTATATCCTGCAAAGGATCACATTATAGAAAATCAAACACTTTTTGATTGACATATCAGAATCCAGAACAGATTTTTAAATAGATACTGCACAGGATAATTACCGATCGAAAGGCTGCAACAATGAGATTTGATGGCATCAAATTTCTGAAAAACAAAAACAAAAATTAGGAGTTGATAATAGTTTATAATCTTAATTGTTTGTACATTGATATAAAATAATCTGTTTTTTTAAGATTTAGCATTAGTTCATCATTAACAAGGCAGAGTGCTTTACTACATCAGCATTTTTAGGCCTTAATAGACATACTTGCCTCAACAGCACATTTCAAAGAACTTACAAATAATTAACAATGTTATTAATAACTAATTTCTTCAGCGGTCGCATGACACTTCCTACAAAATGTACTAAACTGCAGAAAGTGCAATCCATGGGCAGTAATAGCCCCCTAAAAACAGTAAATCAGAGAATGATTTCAATTAAAAATGCAAAATAATTTTAATTTCAAAATTTAGTCAGATATATTTGTTTTCCCTATTTTATTTTTGGAGATTAGTTTTTTTTTTAAAGTAGTGAGTACTTAAATATTGTTAAGTACATTAAATATATTTCTAATAAATATTCTATAGTTCTATACTATTCTAACATCTAATGTGTACAGTACACAACAGCATAGTACAGTATAGAAATCAAATATCAAATCTATAAAGCATCCATAGAGGTATGGTATCTAATAAGCAAAGTTCAATTTAAAACAAAAGCCATGTATTATTAGAAATAAATAATTTTATTTCAGTCAACAACCAGTTTGAAACGAGGCAGGAAAAAGATACAACTATGAAGAAATGGCATACTTAAGTATAAATAAAATAATGCAGCATTGCATTCTATCAAGATTAAAATTAAAACTAGTTAAGAACCAGATGAGAACCATTTTGGTATAATGGTTAAGGCGCCAGACTAGAAACCTGGGAGGCATTGGGAGGGGCGGGCTGAGTTTTAATCCTGCCTTAGGCACAAAAGTCAGATGGATGACCCTGGGCCAGTCACTTTCTCACAACCCTAGGAAGGAGGCAAGGACAAGGCAAAAAGACTGTAGGGGTTAGTCCAGGCAGTCTCCGAGAATCGAACAGAAGAAATAAAAAACAGAGAATCACAAAATAAATTGTAGATGAAGTCCAAATCCAGATACTGAATCTATGAGATAGCGAATTAACAATATAAAAATAAGGTATACTATACAAATCCTAATAATCTAAAACATGGATAATTAGTTACAGCCAGGAATTTATTCATACAAAACTGAAGATTAATGGAATAGATAGATATTGCTCATATAGAACAGCAATCAGTTGTCTCTGCACATCCACAACTGCTACACAGAACTTTGTTGTATTATGCATAAAAAGGCTTCTCTAAATTAACATAATGTAACATTTCTTAGACCAGTCTGGAGCCTCTGACAACAAAGGGAAAATAAGCTTTCTTTGGATATCTTTGTAAAATTAGCAATATAACAGCGCAAGGAAAAGAGATTCAACTGAACTATCACTAGAAAAGAAGTTCCTATAATACACTCTAATCAAAGGCTGTATAAATCTACAGCATGAAGTTATCTCTTGGTTTACATTGTCCATGTCCAAATCTTGTAAAATCACCAAATTAACTCTCAAATCTTCAATAAGTGAATAATAATGCAACGAAATTGCAAAAAGGGATTCGTACATTGCCTCCATTCATACAAATTACCGAACTTGGTCAGATAAACATCCAGTTGAGGCATTTGCGTAAGTATGTTTAGGGTTGGTTACACTTGGTTAATTTTTTCATGCCTTATATAATTCCACCTTGTTTGATTACTTGTGCAATCAGTGCATTTAGTGAAGCTAGATAATGGGTTTAGTAGCCAAATTGAGAGTATTGTTTGAATAATAATCTGTTCAAGTCCTATCAAGCAGGATTAGGAAATAACCCTTGACAATGTCCATAATTGCAAAGTGTACCACCATAGAAATATTTCATAGAAAACCATGGTATAACATAGTAGAAAATACCAACAGAAGGCAAATAAAACTCATCAGAGAGATTTAACTCAGTTCTGTTACCAATCAACTTCCAAATATAATTTCTGAATTAAAAACCTGATTTGCTGTAAGAGTAGGGTGCATACTGAAAAGTTTCTCCTGAAAAGGATAAAAGGACTGCCATTTACGCACTCCAAGAGCAAGCTGAATCCTGCAATATCCTGCCCTAATGTTTTAACTTCAAAACAGCCCCATGCACCCCAAACATCACAGAAAATGCACCTGCAGAATAAACAGCTCTAATCTGGTGTCAAGTCTGTATCAAAGGTTAGAGGCTAATTCTATAAACACTGGTGGGAATAGAAGCTTTCAGGTCTATTGTACTCAGGATAAAGGGAACCAGAAAGATTGGTGGAACAAAAAGAGGACCCATTGTCTGAAGCACAGTTAAGCTGTCTGATCTCCAGTTCTATACTCAATTCATGCTATATGAACTTTCCCATAACCATTAGGAAATGCTAAAGTCCACAACTGTCTAGACAATTGCATTTATCAGCAATTTGGAACTTTACTGATGTTTTTACCTGTATTATTAATGAGTAGAAAATTTAGATATTTCTAAAAATAAGGCTTTCTTGTAGACTTCATTTTTATTCCATGGTATTTAAATTAGACCATTCCTATTATTCTTAGAAAACCTAACATCTTTGATTACAATTTCTACCAATATCCTAAGCAAACGCATAATAAAGTATTTTAGCAATGTCCCATTTTCATGCTGATATCTTTTTATTTAAGAAATCTATTATTTGATTATTACTTTTTTGCTTCATTTACAACAACTTTGATCTGGAGGCCATATTTGCTGGAAGTATAATTATGGTTGACTAAAAAACTGACGATACAATTAGATTCAAAGATTTAGAGAGCTACAAGATACAAGCAAGGTCTACTTTAATCTCTTTCAGCCTTGTGCAAATCAGAACAGCAAAGTTGCCCATGTCTCACATTCATTCATTCATTCATTCATTCATTCATTTATTTATTTATTTATTTGATTTGTCAATCGTTTACAAGATAAT